ACAATTATACATACGTGGTGCAAAATATTCAATTGTATGAATATACTTTTAAAGAAAATTATAATTAAATATAGCTTTGTAAAGAAATGTACATAAAAATAACATAAAATATTCTTTACTTTTTAAATATTAAAACAGTGCACTTAGTTAAAATTGCTCCCTACGAGTGGCTCATGGATGGAATCAGAGACGATCTTGGTAGGTGTGCAGTGCATGCATGCCAAATCCTGAGGGTGCTGATACTGGTTAATGTCAAATCCTCTTTTGTTGCATCACTAATATATCTCAAAGGTTGCGACAGGGTTGTTGTAGATTTTAAACGTTTCTCACCATAGCTATAAAAATCTAAATATGTTAAACTCAATACTAAGTAGATTGTCTGTTATTTGTTTCTAACTAATTCATTTTAGGACCAGGTGTCCTCAGAAATTTCCAAACTTTACAACTTTTCGGCAGGGCCGTGCCGTGACATTTGGTGATAGGGAAGCTGTGTTTCTATAAGAAGCCGACATCCAGGGGCAATCAGTTAATTCTTTCTTTAAATGTATTTTTAATAGATTATTTATCTGACGTACTTAATAAACAAGTTCATTATAATTACCTCTGTTATTAGATCCAATATATTCCATATGCCCTCTAAATGCCAATTCTTGCTTTGATAAAAACATATAACATCTATTTATTTAGATATAATATATCTATTACCCATAATTATCTCGTTACAATTTTCAATATTTATTTTATATTATTTACTAATGTTAAATTCTATTCCGCTTCGATTTCCAAATTGCTTCAAATACGAAAGAATCGACGATTTTTCGTGTCTTTTGCCAGCTAAATTGTCAAAGCCATTCTTATTCCACACACTAATTTCATTTGAAAATAGTAGGCAAGCCAACAAAACAATTTTTGCATTTTTATGCATTTACAGAGCCATTTTATCGTGAAAATGTCGAACAAATTTTTTTATTGAAGCGTTTATATTTAACTTAGGCATTGGCCTTTCTCTTTTAATAATGTTTTCTTTTTCATTATATGATCTCGAGCCAAAACTTTTTTAAAATAAATTTTCAATATCGCAATTACATTCCGAATCGCTAGCCACGATATAAGGGCTAAAATTAAAAATAAAATTATAAAAACTTACTTGGTGAAATAAAATGTGTGGTGGATATACATACCTGGTACAAAACATTCTTCAATTGTATGAATATACTTTTAAAGAAAATTATAATTAAATATAACTTTGTAATGAAACGTACATGAAAATAACATAAAATATTCTTTACTCTTTAAATCTTAACCACTTAGTCAAATAGCTCCCTACGAGTGGAATCAGAGACGGTCCTGCTAGGTGTGCGGTGTGTACTGTACATGCACGCGGGCTGCCAAATCCCGAGGGTGCCGATACCCTCGGGATTTGGCAATGTCAAATGTTTCTTTTGTCGCATCACTAATATACCTCAAAAGACGCGACAGGGTTCTTGTAAATTTTAAACGTTTCTCACCATAGCTGTAAAAGTCTAAATATGTTAAACTTAATAGATTGTCCGTCGTTTGTTTTCTAACTAATTCGTTTTAGGACCAGGTGTTGTCCACGGAAATTTCCAAAATTTACAACTTTTCGGTCACTCTCGTCGAACTGGAAAAATTTCTGTCTTTATTACATCTAATACAGTATTTCGAAGAAATCAGTCCCCACTGTACTCGGCTATAGATTGGTTCGGTTAAGCTTTTGTTTAAGTAATATTCCGGCTCTTTCGTCAGGGTTTTGTTTATGTCCCCAATTCCCTAATCGCTTAATTATTTAACTACTTCTTAAGTAGAAATAAGTCGAAACCGGTTACTTTGTACTCGAATATTTGTAGTCTCGGGAAAAAAGTGGAAAGACAAATTTTTATGACAAACGGATACATAAATCGTAAATTTAAGGAAAATAAATTCTAGAGCTTTTTCTGTACCTCGTGCATCTCTCTCATTCATTAAATTTAGTTGTAAATGATGCTACCAAAGTAACAGTTAATTTTTTAACATTATACAAGAATTGTACACGTTTTTTTCTACATCCCCTTAAAGATGGGATATACGAAATCGTAATATCACTGGTTTAACATTGAAATCCGTGAGTAATATAAAATCGGAGAGCGGAATAAATATATCAAATATTTTAATGGATTTTTTAAACTCCTGTCAACTATACAGAACTATCGTAAAAACATACCAGTAAATTCTTATCGGTTGGGTTAAGTTATAAATCTACTCGTTATTCACGTAATCGAAATATCTAGTGGGCAGGCGGCTAACAGCCCAGAACCGGTCCTTGATAGAATTGGAATCTTTATATGTGTGCAGCTTTCACCCAAGGTCGTAGGCTTCCACCGGCTAAACCGGGTGAGGTTGGTGCTCTGTAAAGCGCATGCGCAAATCTGGCTTTTTGTAATCTGAAAATACAGGAGATTCCACTCCGCCACTAATATTCTAATATACAATAGCAATTTTTTTTCCACGTGTAGTATAGAAATTTGTAATAAGATACATAATGCGGTTATAATAAAATATTGTGCGATTATTTTCTTATAATTAAAATTAATATTTATTTATTTTTTAGAGAATATGAGAGAAGCTGCGCTTCCAACGCTTCTAATGATGGCACACCACTGCTTTTCGGTCAATCTGATTGAACAGGAAAAATTTCTGTCTTTATTACATCTAATGTTACGAAGAAATCAGTCCCCACTATATTCGGCTAGAGATTGTTTCGGTTAAGCTTTAAAGTAACATTCCGGCTCTTTCAGCAGGGTTTTATTTATGCTCCTAAATCCCTAATCTCTTAATTATTTAACTACTACTTAAGTAGAAATAAGTTGAAACCGGTTACTTTGAAATTGAATATTTGTAGTCTTGGGAAAGAAGTGGAATGACAAATTTTTATGACAATGGATACATAAATTGTAAATTTAAGTAATATAAAGTCTAGAGCTTTTTTGTAACTTGTGCATCTCATTCATTAGCCTACATTTAGTTTTAAATGATGCTACCAAATTAACAGTTAATTTTTTAACATTGTACATGTTTTTTCTACATCCCCTTATAGATGGGACATACAAAATCAAAATATCACTGGTTTAACAATGAAATCCGTAAGTAATACAAGATGGGAGAGCAGAATAAAAACAGAATAAATATATCAAATATTTTAATGGATTTTTTAAACTTCTGTCAACTATGCAGAACTATCATAAAAACATACCAGTAAATTCCTATCGGTTGGGTTAAGTTATAAATCTACTCATGATTCACATAATCGGGTGAGGGTGACTAAATATCTAGCAAGCAGGCGGCTAACTGCCCAGAACCAGTCCTGGATAGAATCATTGGAAGCATTATACAATATTTTGGTGTGTAGCTTCCACCAGCAAAACCGGGTGAGGTTGGTACTCTGTAAAGCACATGTGCGAATGTATATAATCTGGCTGCTTGGAAGCTGTCTCGTATTTACAATACAGCGCTTCCATTCGCCACTGATATTCGAATATACAATAGCAATCTTATAGTTTTTTCACATATAGTATAGAAATTTGTAATAAGATACATAATGTGGTTGTAATAAAATATTAATTTTAATTAATTCAAAGTATGTTAAAATATGAAAATAATCACGCAATATGTATTTATATTTTAGAAAATACAAGGGAAGTCCTTGCATTCTCTAAAATACAATGCCATCCTTGGAAGCGCTTCCACCACTTCCAAGGACGGCATGCCACTGATTTCTCCCATTCATCATTGCATACTTTGCATAATCTATTCAATGTTTTGGGTTGAAATTTCCAAGAGCCTTTTTTTAGTAGCTCATGGAGAGAAATCCATGAGCTCAAGTTGCATTGAAGGATTTAGCATGTATGTTGGAAAAGAATATTGACTTTACACCAGTTTCTTCTTCCATCGTTTTCAGAAATGCTAGGGATGAATGTGAAGTATCACTCAATGTTTTGTACTGATAGATCTCTATGTTCAGCATCTTCCATACCATACAGCAACAGAATTTCATGCTTAAACATGAGCTCCATACTTTACTTTGATAGTAACTAGAGTTGACTTTGACCTTTAAACAAACTTTTCACAGTTTGCCATTATAGCAGAAACTTGAAATTATCATAAAGCTTTTGCTGAAACTTTCCTTGTAGTATTCATGAGACCCTAGATTCTAGGGTCTCATGAATACTATGAGGAACAAACAGAATCAGAAACAGTTTTCTTCTAGGGCCTAGAAGAAAACTGTTTCTGATCCTTTGGGTTATAGTATATCATTTAAAGTTTGTTCATTTCAGACAGGTATACCCTTGCTTTGTTGAGAGTTATGTCAAACTTCCATCCCTCAGCTGCCAGGCACTTTTCATATAGTTTTCTACAATAGTTCTTTCTCTCTGCAATTTGGCTGGGGATGAGCTGTAAACTCAGGATCTATATCTTTTTTGTAGCCATAGATTTTTGTAAATTATGGAATCAATTGTTGATCCTGGTTTCTTCTTTCTTTGCAATGTCTTTCTGTGTGCTTGGGTTTGCCCCACTTACCTTCTTCTCTATGGCAGATGTGTATCTGATTCAGGGCAGGCTACAGTTTACAGACCATGATCCTAAGAGAATCTTTTTCATAACTGTTGTGGGTTCAGCTACCTCCAAATGAAACCACCTGGAGGATGAAGTGTGATCAAACATATTTGGGACAGACTGCCCTGTAATCTTTCTGGGATTCAATCCCAGGTTCTCAAAGCAGCTGACACCTTAGTATCTTGGCCATCCCACCATCTAAGTAAGAAAGTACAGTATATATGTTCAGTGATTATGATATAATATTATAGTCATATTAATGAGTATATTACAAATGTAGAAAATTAATTATATTAGATTTGCTAATTGTTTATTGTACTTTAGAAATAGCTATAATTATTTTATATAATGGGATTGCTTGTTTAATATATTAATTTTCAATTATGTAGGTCTAACAAATGAAGAAATAGATAATGCAATAGAAAGAGCTAACATACCTAAAGACTTACAATTAGTTCCACAAGATAGTAATATATCAAATTTAAGTAAGTGAATTATGTTAAAAGATGTTAATTAATTTTATAGAATATCAAAAATAGTAGTACAGAATGGCTAATATAAAAACAGTCTCCTGACATTTTTAAATTTCTCAGCTTACTTTCAGAGATGGTGAAAAAACCATAAAATACAGTACAATACAAAGTTTTGTTTCAAAAGAGCATCCCATTGACATCTTGTCATTTTTTAGGCTTTCTAAAATAATACAACAAAGCAAAAGAAAAAACAAATACAAATTACATAAATAAACTGTCAACATTAAAATTGATTTTAATTAAATTTTTATATATTTTGTAAATTACTATGTTTTTAAACTCATATTTTTGTTTGATTACTGCCAACTGTTAAATGGAAAAGCAGTTGTTTAAATTTCATAAAATCATAATATAACTTTTCTAATGCTGTTACGATAAAGAGGTCAATTTTATTTACAGTACAGTATTAAACATTTTTTCAAGTCCATCCAACTCATCTTTTTCTTTATTTACCTTTAATTCCATGAATAAAAATCCAGCAATAAGTTGCATAACTTTCCCAGCAACAATATTTAAAATTATGGTGGTACCATCTGTGATGATATTTTATTAAAAAACATTTTATATAATTAATTAATATAAAATGGCAAAAAGCTTAATTTTGAGGGTAGAGAAGAGTTTTATAAAAAAATTGTAAATGCTGATAATGAGTAAAATCTTCATTACGTCTGATTCTACTCAAGAGACACTTGACCTTTTCTCTGTCTCCCCACCCCCTTGATCTTTAACCACTAAAATTTAATAGCATCAATCTCCCTAATACACAAACTTCTCTGCAAAATTTCAGACATTTTCAACAAAAGGCACAGGAGTTATTAAGCCTCTATTATGATGACTCCTGGGTGTTCTCTTTTGTCCAATTTTCATATTTTCTCTCTGTTATATATCCACAAGTTTCCAGAAAAGATTCATGTATTTTCTTGTACTGTAGCATTACTGTCATGCTGCCAAGATACTGCAACTATGCAATTGAGAATATAATTGATTTTGAAATTACTAATACAAATTTGTTCATAATGCCCATTTTGTTAGTAATTGTAAGGGTTTTTATATTTTAACTTATAAAGAGTATTTTCAATTGTTTTTATGCAAGTTTAAATTTTTTCTAAAGTAAAGAAAAAAAGCATAATACATGCATAGTGGGGAAATATTTTTTAAGTCGGATAAAAATATAAATTAAAATTAAGGAGACCTGAATCCTGTTTTTTTATTTTTTTCCTTCTATAAAATAATTGGCAAAATTTATTTCTGTAATTTTACTAATATTCCACTGTTGTTATCTGTCAGGAAATATTTATATCTTTGTTTAATTAATAAAGTAGTCCAAAATATTTACAGAATATCGTAGAATTAAGTCTAATGTAAAATTTTTGGAATTTTGCATAGTTTCTTCTACAAACTTGCATTTTTTAATTTATTTTTATCAATTAGTTCTATAAAAGCATGGAATAATGACACAAGAGAATGCCACTTATGGAGTATCCAGCTATATTTTAATAACTTATTAGAAGTAAAGCCTATGATTATGAATAAATACTTAATTATAGGAGTCTTGGCACTTATAATTATTTTTCAAGTGGTAAAGCAGGTGAAATTTGAATTTATTAATAAATTGTCACAAAACATTTGTGTCCTTAGGATTTGTGATGGCTCTACATTTGTCTTATTTGCAAGTAATGATTCTCTACGGACTTGTGTGTCTTATGATGGCAAAGTTATTGTAAATGCATGGCTGATTACCAATTCTCTTCTTAAATTTTTATCATGTGGAAGTGGAATGGTTGAATATATGGGTAATCTTAATGAATCATGTTTTCATGTATACTGCATACAGCTTCAAGCCACTTATAAAGAACACACTGGCCTTCACTGCACAGTATTCACCTGAACTGATTTTGTAAGGCTATGCCAATGAAAAACTAAAAATTGCCGACCTACACTAATGATTAGCAATATCTTAATGGCTGCCAAGACATACATTCTTGTGTGGCAAAATTCAGAAAAAAACATTCTGGAAACTTGTGAATAGTAGCCAGGAAAGTGAAAATGACCTATTTATCATAATAGTATTAGTGATGTTATAACATAGGGTTGGAACATGAAAATGAATCATAAAATCATAAATTTCAGAACTCTGTCTACCTTTAGAATGCATTTAATCAGAAGACTATTGCCATGGAAACTAAATAATAATAACTAAATGATCAAAAATATTAATAAAACATCAACATTGTGAATAAATACAGAATTAATTTGATTTTAATAAATTTACATAAAATTTCTATGCAAGAAACTTTTTATCTTTTATGAATATTATAAAGGCTTACTTCAGAAAGTGAAATCTTTAATTGAATAATAATAATTTTTATCCTGATCTAGGACAATTTTAGCTTATATTCAATTTATATGAACTGTAAACTGAAGGTGTCCTGGCTAAGCTGAAGGATAAAAACATTTATTATTATTCAATTAAAGATTTGGCTTCCTGAAGTAAGCATTTTTAATGTTCATATTAACATAAAGTAGTTCTTATCTTGTAATAAAAGCATGTTTTACTATAATTTCATAATGACTAAATCTATTTTAAAATTATATGTAATTTTCAGATTTGTTAATTTATGATTTCTCCCCCCCCCACTCCCTGCAGATAAGCTACATGAAATAAGCATGTTAGGAGATTGTTTCTGTATTTTTCATAGGAATAAAGCATTTTAATTACATCTTTTTAACATTTCTATTCTATAAACAAAAATATTATAAACTGGTTTTGGAATATATTAAAACTACTTTATATAGATTCTCCAGTTTCTTCCAGTTGGACAAAATTAAAAGATGTTTGGTCTTCAATAGTTATAGTAGGAATTACCTTTTATGGTGCTTATAAATTATATAAGGTAAGAATAATACAAACTATATGTTTAATTTAATAATACCATCTTTTGTTTGTTTTTAAGAACAAAATGTAAGACTATATTCACATATTACAGAATTTTATTGAACCTAAACTGTTTGTAGTAACTCCAAAAGAGAACAAATTAGCAAATATTGAGACACAATTAGCAGAATTAAATGAATCACTTTCTAGTCTGAAAAATTCATTATTAAATGTCCAAGATTCATTGTCACAACAGCAGCAGCAGATAAAAGCTATGAAAGAGGTAAGTTTTTATTATCTAACATCATTGTATAAAATATAATTGTTTACTTAAGGCTTGTTCTAACTACAACTGGATCTATGACAGTAAGCAGAAAAACTGCAATGTGTAGTAGCCATCGTGATGTCACATTGTTGGATAAAGGGTGTGTTTATGAGTTGAGTTGAGCTCAGCTCTTATCATGATTGCTTGTAGAAAAATTAAGTATTTATTGACTAGTATGAAAGTATCATGTATATTTACATCATTCACCACCAATCAAGTCTTTTCAAAATGTACTGCATGGCTACATCAGCTCCATCATTCAGTAGCATGCCACAGTAATGAGAATGACACTGCATTTTTCATATCAGTTAGCTATTGTGGAAGCCATCAGGAGAACCAGCCTTTATAGTACAATAGTGACTTTTATTATATGTGCTAAAATTGATTTATTTTTCTAAATTGTATTTTAAAAATGTTTCTTTTGGATGTAAATATTTCACTATTAAGGTGTTATTTCTGTTATAATAAAAAAATAAAATACAATAAATATTTTACATGCAAATACTGTTATGTAAATTATAATTTAAGCCTTCTAAATTTATTTATCATTTGATATTTTTTCTCACTTTTTATATGATTAAAATTAAATGTGATATTTTTGTAGGAATTTAATCAAGAATCAATCCTCCCTACAATTAAGAATGAAGTAGCATCAATTAAGTCAATATTACTAAGTAGGTAAGTAATACCAATAGAATTTAAAACTATTCATTTATTAAATACTCTAGATCAGTGTTTCCCAAACTTTTTTGACTATTACCTCTTCTGATGCATATATTTCTTATATATTTTTGTCTTTTTTTGTTTCAAAAAGAATTTTTATTTCCTTCTTTTCATCATTTCTACTGCCCCCTGCCTTCCACATCCTCCTTAAATCTTGTACTACCCTCAAGGAAACAGTAGCACTCACTTGGGGAATTGTTGCTCTAGACTGTCAAATCTGGTATATATATGATGCTTAATGAGAGTTTTGAAATTTGTTCTCAACTATTATAAACAAGAAGCAATTATTTCAAAACTTTTCAAATTAATTGTAGAAGTATTCCTTTATTATTTAGTCAGAAGAGATAAACAAAAATGGTTATTGTAAAATTTGAATAAACTATAGTTCATAAATTAACTGCTTCACTCAACTATATGTAACACTGTATGGCATTAAAACTGTTTATTAAATTTCTTTGCACATGTCACTGCATTAAACAGATTTTAAAATATTTTTTATTTTTGTATTTTTAAACATTCAGCCTTCCAATGTTTTTTGTTCTATTTTGCATTAGTTTCTGTAAATTGTTTGATTTTTTTGAATAGCAAACTTGACAAAGGTCATTAAATATGAGTGAAAACATTAGTTTAATAAACATTTTTGCTGCTGTATAGAGTAATATGTAGTTGATTGAGTTTGAATAATTTTTTTTTAAATCTCTAATAAAAATATTTACATTAATAATCAACACTTGATACTGCACAAATTTTAAACTAATATTTTTAAATGTATTGAAAAATTTCTGTAGACATTGCATTTATATTGCCAATGTTGGATTTACTATCAAGATTTTTTAAATATTGATTTCATTATGAAAAATCTGCAGTTTAGACATGTTTAATATTTTTCTGTTAAATTTCATATACATATTTACACTTCTGACATCAGAGTTTACTACTTTTCTTTATCATTACAAAATAAAGTGTAATAAAATAATGTTGAATTCTTTTTAAATATCATTTTATTGTTCACTGTAAATTTTGTAGAAGCTATGACTTCAATCTCTGAATTAAACATTAAGTGAATTGTAACTGAAAAAGGATGTATAATGTGAGAATCAAGGGCATAGAATTTTGACCTATGTCACTTACTGACTTGCAATCGTTAGATTGGCTCACTAAAACTTTTTATGGGAGGGCTTTATAAAAAGGATATAGACAGCGAAGTCTCTATCAATGTCAGGATAATGACACCAGTTAATCACTTTTATCGTACGCAGATTAACACGCGTAATGGAAAGTTATGGAGATGAAGATATTTTTGATCCAGATACTTTGAGAGACATTTCTTTAACATAAAACAAATATTTAATAAACGAAAGTGAGATTTTACAAACTGGACCAACAAATAAAGCTATTTATTGAGAGAGAGAGTTCACAACTCTGTTAAAATCATACTACCTCAGAACATGTTTCTCTTATCTTCTTCTTTAGATCAGGTTCTGGACGAATGTTCTTATCTTAGGTTAATTCTTCAAAAACACATCAATAAACATATTCTTCTCTATATTTAACAACTTAATAACTCTTTTAGTAGAAACTTCGGGATTCGGTTATGGGCATTGGCCATAGGGAGATGATATGGAATATGTCTGTCCTCTTTGGGATCTTCCGATGTACTCCCCAAATGATACTAAAGAATCCCCTTTTTTGGATTTTTTCTTCAATGAGAGAATGGTATTATTTCCACGTGTTTAGGAAAAGTGGGGGTTCACAGAGGGATAATTAGACTGTATGTGACTCAAAATTTATGAAGATAAGGGAAACCAAAAAGGATGTTGAGCTTCCATTGAGAAGGAAGTGAATTTTACCAGTTTCCTTTGTTTTCAACATTAAAACTTTTCATTTAAAATCAGAAATATTACTTTCAAAAATTTATGTTTCTGACATCAATTTTCAATTAATTAGGGTGGTATGTCCAAAATCTCACAATAACATAATAAGTGTGCGAGCTCTAGATCTTAGCTCTAGATTAGTAAAATGGGCTCTAGAGAAGAAGATCTTACCTGAATTCCTAATAAGATTCTAGAGTTGTTTCTAACACACAATGCAGTGTAATTTAGCAATTACTTGGCTTCCTTTCATCTTTATTTCAGTTGATATGCGTTTCACATTTTGGGCCTAATACGCCCTCCTCAGTCAACTAAAATTGTTAAAAACAAAAGATTTTTACATACAATACAATACTGAAATAAAGATGAAAGGAAACCAAGTGATTGCTAAATTACACTGCATTGTGTGTTAGAAACAACAATAGAAACACGACACAGTTTCAAATTATCAAAAAAAGATTCTAGAGCTCACACACCTATTATGTTACACATCCTTTTTCAGTTATAACAATAATCAATCAGATACAGATTTTTACAGATATTTTTATTGATAATATACCAAAGGTACATTCCCGGTACCGTTTACACACAACCGGGTCAATAATCAATCAATAATCAATCAATCAACAGCCAAGTTAATTGGTCGGAATTATGTTACAAATATTAAATTTGGAAATTATATATAAATAACAAGGCAGACATTAGGCGCCATCTCTTAACGGAAGTAGTAACGATAATTTTAAGTGAAGAAATGGATATTCCATAACGAAGGTGTTTTGTGTTCTGCAGTTTGCGAAATCTAAATCACTTGTCATTGCGCAACACGAGTAATATGCAAGAGCTGTAGAATTGTGGTTACTGTGGGAGAAGTTACAACAGATATGCTGTAACAAATATAGGAAAAATTTGAGTATCAATCAGATGTGTGCCATGTGACACAAGATGCACGCATTAAGAAATTGTAATGGGCAAAAGTGAAACTTGGACAGTTTTCCAATGTTTTAATGTACAGTACATTACAATATTCTTTGATAATAATTAACATAATTACAATAACTTAAAATGATAGCATTCTTTTTTTGAAAACTGTATATATAATATATTTCCCATTAGTTTTCTTTTTCACTGTAAGTGAAAAGAAAATTACATACTGTAAATTGAAACAAAATTTTTATATTTTGATATTTGACTAATATCATGTATAATTATTATAAAGCAACTTACTAATCATACTGATGTATTTTTATTCAACCTGATAAAAATGAATACTATAAATATTTTATTTTTACTAGGCATCAGTTTCCTACTTCTCGAGTAACAAATCCTAGTATACCATCTTGGCAGATGGTAGAAAACGATCCACAAAATAATATTACAGCGGTTAGTATATCCGAAGTAGATCCGTCGACAGTGATGTCTACATTAACTTTGGTAAATGTAATATTAATTAAGCTGTTTTTAATAATTATTTTTATTTAGAAGAAAAATACTATTTTATCATTTCTGTGGTAAACTCAATTAATGTTTGCTTTTGCTTTTGTTTTTTTAAGAAACATCTTAAAAATATTAATTGTGAATTTAAATGTGGTTCAAAGAGAATCTATTATTTCTAGAAGAAAAGATAAGATTTCTGTGGAAACCAACTTTCATTACTGACAAAAGTTGGGCAATGTATAATCAAATTCATTCTCTAGAAATGCTATTCGCAATAAATATTCCATTCTCCCATATTGAATATGGTATTCCATATTCAGTAGTGGAGACTGACTTTATATTCTGTAAAAGTCAATAATGTAATATCTTGTCACCAATTTAAAATCCAGTTATGTAGTCTCCTTTAACATTTTTTGGTGAAAGTTTTAAATATTTTTTTATTTCTAGATATTTCAAGATTTTAAAATAGTTAATTAACTAAAAGCATATTTGGGGTGGAGCATATACATGTCCTGATGGAAAAGTTAAATTATTCAAAAACTACAAGTGTAATTCAAATCAAATGCAATTAATTAAGCAGTAAAGGCACTGTGAAATACAATTTTTAAAATATTTGATTTCAAATGCAATCAAATTCTGTTGGCAATCATAAAATTAGTCAATAATTCTGTCCAATCACTGCCAAAATTCCTTTTGTCCATCTTGGATGCACACCTGATGAATCCACTGAAGAGAGACAAACATTTTCTTTAGTTGGCTAAGTTACAAAATTTGGGAGGTTTAAATTGGTGCTATATGAGGACCATTCGATTCCACTTACGATCGTCTAGAGCAGGGTTAGTCAATCTTTTTATACCTACCGTCCACTTTATGTTTTTTGGTAGTAAAATTTTCAAACTGCCCACCGGTTCCCCAGTAAGTTTATTTAACGCAACTGCAAAATACTCGTAATTTTTGAGTGGCGGTTTAGTAAAAATATGTAGTTAAATTTATCTTTTGCATATGTTTATAATACACAAATTTTTTTGCCAGTGCACCAAGTGTTTTTTTTTACGTCAAACTGAAAAAAGTAGCTAAATCTGGCAACGTTGACCTCATCACGAAACGAACTCAACTGGACTGATGGCCACTGTTAGGCCAGGAACTCACATGCGTAAAATTCGGCGTAAAATCTAGCATAAAACAGAATGCGTAAAAATTTTTCTGAAATTGTGGCTGAAAGGTAACGGAAAAGAGTAGAGCGTGTCTCTACTTTTTATGCCAAAATTCCTCCAATAAAGAGAAGTCTTTTCTGAGACGTCAAAGTAGACACGTGGTTTTTATTTATTAATACAGAGAACGCACATTTATTCAGCTAAACAAACGTTTTCAACCCATTTCATGGGCCATCATCAGGTTAAAGACGTTCGAATCTATGCCATTATCGAACACGTTCAAATTTAAATTATATTAGAACATATGTTGAAATTAAATTACGTAAACAAGCATAACGAAATTAATACAATAAATACGAAAAACAAAATAATATAAAAAGGAATACAAAATACGGTAATTTCCCGCAATCCAATATGTAAACATTTTTTATATATTAACACAGGTTTTCATTGAGCCTGGTGGATGTATCATCCTACCGAGTTTTTCTGATTATGTATTTCCATGCCGACGATAAAATGGTTGCATCCTTATAGTTTAAACATTTATCCGTCAAGCTAGATCTGTAGATCTCACACTACTCTTCTGTTGTGGATGCAATGCGTTTTATTTAATAATGGCGGCAATGAGGGTTAACAGCTTAAAAAGTAGAGGCACGCTCTACTCTTTTTTTCGGTTACGTTTCAGCCACAATTTCAGAAAAATTTTTACGCATTCTGTTTTATGCTAGTTTTTACGCATGTGTGTTCCTGGCCTTACAGTACAACCTGCTCCTTCAGTGAGTCATAGATGCGCGGTGATAACGGAAACTAGCTTCGGCATCTGACAAAGCCCTACTGATCACCGCGAAAGCTCAAATCGTCCACTAGTGAGCAGCAATGTTCCTCTAATTTTTTTTGTAGATGAGCGGAACATATACTTCTCTGTGTGAAAAAATTTTCTGAGCATTATATATATATATAATGTTATTTTTTCCTATAAAAATTAAAATAATGAATTATAAAGTAGAGATTAAAATTCATTTTAAAACATAGAGGGAAGGTGGTATTATGGAATCTCAATTACATTTTAGTGAATTGTAAACAAGGTATCATAATTACACCCACATTTTTTGTGCGAAAAGTACCGGTAACTAGTAAACTAAATGTTCCTAATTGGATTTTTCGCTAGTGTAATTATAAGTATGGTTTTTGAAGGCTTTTGTACAAAAAGTCCGAAAGTAGGCTTAGAGAAAATCGGGTGGTAATATGGAACCTTACTGTATATTTTCAAAAAAATGCTTTAATGTAGCCAAAAACAAATAGGAAAGGACAAAAAATGTTAAATAATTACAAAATTATTTACTCCAATGTATTTTATCGCAAAAATGCTTTTATAATAGAAAAATATGACCTCCATCAACAATATATATTCCAGCAGCTCTTTTTCGATATTCTCGGGAAGAATTGGCTTTCTACCTAGTGTCTTTTTCACAAATTGCTCTGGAGGAATGTCTGCTTGCAAATAGAAAGTTCGGAGGAGTTGAGTTCCATATTACTGTAAAAGCACCAATGGGGTCCGTATTTCACGCATCGCCATCTCGAATTAACTTATGTCTGTCAAGACCAAAATTTAAAAAACGTGAACATCACACAGATTAATATGTACCCCTAAGTCTCTGGAACGGAATACATGCACCAGTGAACCTACAACTACACGATTTATATTTTAAAAATAATTAAATTCACTTAGCATTCAAAACTTGCGAATTTTGAAAAAAAAACAAATTTGCTGATTAAATACGGACAACTGTTTAACTGAAGTAAAACGGGTTTTTCTCTTGCTATGGATGTCTGCCTAGTTCAGTTCATCCACATTCCGCTACAGTTCGCCTTTATTATCAGTTCGAAATGGGGTGGTTCCATAATACCCACAGTGTTCCATAATACCACCTTCTCCTCTACTTTTATATAAAATATTATCTTTTGTCAATGATTTAATGTATTTAATCGAAATATACGCAGCAATAATCATGTTGCGGACAGAGTGAGAAATAAGTAAACAACAATTCAAATCGGTGTGCGTGCTCGCCTGCGCGGCAACAATTTGAGCACTGCGCAGCTTAGAGGGAACATTGGTGGGCGGTAGGGACCAAGTTGACTACTACTGGTCTAGACTCTAGAGCAATCCCTCCGGGATTAAATACCATGTGTGTTTTGCGTGCCTTAACTATTCCTCTCTCAGACAGAACTCGTTTGTAGGAAACTCTTCAAAAACTGCAATAATTTCCTGTCGGGACATAGATATGCCCTACCATTTAGTACATATTATTATAATTATATTGCCTTAACAGTTAAATTTTTTCTTTGTAGACAAGCGAGAGTAGTACCGAAATAATAGAAAGTCCCGAAAACGAGAAAGTCGAAACTACCGAATAATGAGCAATAAAAGGAATAACCATCCAGAAGTTGGCTTCTACAATACTCTAGATTTTATTAATTCATTCCTAAGTTGTGTAATTCTATTACATAATATGATAATTACATTTTATTAAAAAATAATTTATAAATTTTTATATTGTCTACAAGTCAGAATTATTATTAAAATAAAGACGGTGTTTAAACTAATGTTTTTTTAATCATTATTTACGGTATTTTTGTGAATATGACTCGTGACGGCATACACCGAGCGGTCAGAGGTGGCAGCCTACCGCTCTGGGGGACCCGGGTTCGAATCCGAAAGGGTCGAAAAATCCCCAGGAATTTTTCGGGGTCGGTCCGTTCGGATATGTCGGGCCCCGTCCCTCACCACCCGGCAGCCCCATTGTGGGCCTGGCCGAACCCATAATGGGCTTGCGAAAAGAGACCCTCTTAGTGCCCACAGGGCGGAAAGAGTAAAAAAAACACCGTGCAGAAAATTGCTAGAGGGAGGGACGGCCGCTTTACCGTATAACACGCAGCTGTCGCTCAATAGGCACGAGTTTGTCATCACAATTTGAGTTCGGCTTGTAATCCGCACCCGTTTTAATTTTTTTTTTCGTGTATTCACAACCAAGGATTAAGAGTTAAAATTGGTTTATCTGTAACCACGACTGTCGATCCTTTTGTTGCGAATAGGCCGCTAAACTTAATCAGCACGAAAATAAGAATATTTTCATATTGGAAGAGTTAGGAATTTCTCTAATTTAAATACCGAAATCTCACTTGTAAGAAATAAAATGCGTAGTCGAATGAATATCTTATTAAATTTTTAACAAAAAATATTTTTACAGTTTACGGTACAATCCACTTATTGTAATCAATTTGGAACTGCGTAAAGTGATTACAATAAGTTACCTACTTTAATATGTAACGATTATACGTATTATAAAGCGGGGATTGTTGTATGATAAGGCACTTCGATTAGAGAATTTCTTCTTTTAAAATACCACTATTAAATGCCTGGAGGAAGATCCTGTTAAATGCACGTACGGCAGACTCGCTAATCCGGCCATTTCTTGCACCGGGTGCCGGATTACCGAAGCGCTCGGATCTAAAGGCAACGAATGACGCAACCTGTTGTCCTTTGGTGTCAATTCTTTTTTAGAGACGGGCCGAAATGAAACTCGAGTAAACAGGAACGTTACGCGTAACTTGATAAAACATTTTTACGAAAACGGAAGCGTATAGATGATAACAGTGCAGGGTATGCCGCAGTATCGAGGGCTAATTTAACGAGTGTACTATATTGTAACTTTCTATAGAAATTGCGTCGAGTGTGAAAAATTTATTAAAAAGTAAAACGTTAAGTACTTACTGTATGTACAACCAAATACACAATTGTTGAAAATATTAATAACTAGCAGTTACCCGCGACTTCGCTCGCGGAGGTTTTGCAAGCGAACCCCATTTATATTCAGTATTTCAACAACCATAGTAATTGTTATATAACACCTACCGCCGAGAATGATGAGAATTGCCGAGAATCAAACGAACTATTTTCAATTTGATCAATTTTCTGGAACGTTTACAATCGTTCTATAATCGAACCAATATGCAATAACAAATTAGAATTTAAAAAGGTTCGAACATTTGGTTAAAAAATCGAAATATATAAAAATATTTATAACAATGTCTGAAAGGTTATTATTTAATTTAATACACTTAAGTACTTAATGAAGACTAAACGTAACAAAAAATCGCATGTAAAATAGTACAGTAGAAGCCATTCTTCCGGTTAAGCCTTAATGCTCTCCCTCTACTCCCGCGGGGAATTTCCAAAAAATCCCTTCTTAGTGCGCGTTTCCATGACGTACCCTAACTGTGTACCAAATTTCACCTCTAGGTCCAGCGGTTTGCTCTAGGCGATGATGAATCAGTCAGTCAGGACAAGCAATTTTATATATTTAGATGAACTTCATTACACGCAGTATTTCTTGTCGAAAAGATTTTTTCGGTTCAAAAAATTAAATTTTAGAATAAGTTGACGGTGGACGGGACTTAACCCCCAAAAATTTCTGGCCGCTAGAGACCATTCAAGATCTTCACAAGAGAAATACTGTACAGTAGAGCGTCGTTTATCCGAATCGATTGGGGACTGGGGTTGTTCGGATAACTTATTTTTCGGATAACCAATTATGTACGAAAAATATACAGTATTAATTTATCCCGTGTTGAAATTTTTCTCCGTTGCGTGTTGCTTCGCGTTGAATTTTCGTCGATGTTAAGCCTAACGAAGACTATTGTATCGTTAAAAATTATTTTTTTATTTTGTACAAACAAAATAAATATATTGAAAAATATAAAAACAATAAAAAATTATACTTCAAAGTTAATTTAGTATCAAAAACGTAAAATATTTGAGTGGCCGAAGACATAGCCAAAGATTACAGCGCCACAGCACTGGCGAAAATTTAAATTTGTCGACTGGAATTCTTTCGGATAACCGACCTTCGGATAAACGACGCTCTACTGTATTGCCAAAGCATCGGAATGAAACGAAGAAGGAATTCGAGAGAACAGACGCAGTTTTTTTTCCTCCGTCCCGTGGGCACTAATGTCCTTTTTACCATATCCGTTATGGGCTCGACCAGGTCGGCGGGGATTCGGATTAGCGAACAGAATAAATACGGCGGCGATCTCGAAGCGGTTCATTCCATTTAATAATAATCTAAATCCTATAGAGAAGAATTATTTTTCCGTTTTCCTCTTCGATCGCGTCCACCTTTTTATAATCCACCACGAAATTCCGGGCAGAGGGCGCTTTACAAGCCGGTTTACTTTCAATTTTGCTGCTGAGTGCGGAGAAGTGGTTCCCTCTATTCCTTTTTCTTTTAAGTTGAATATCAGAATCTCCGCGTGCCTAGGGCCATGAACGAGACTTTAACTTTCCGCTTCCTCGTTCTCCTTCTGGTCGCCTCTGTCTGTCGATCTTGGTCGGTTTACGGGCCTTTTTCCAATTTCTCCGCTGGTCGCAACGCCACAAAAAGGACGAATTTGGTGGAATTGGCTAAAAAACTGAATCTCACTTCTTTGGTGGATGCCTTGCGACAGACCAAATTGGATAACGTCGTCGACCACGAAGGTATCTCTTCGTTTATTCCTCGGCTTTTGCTCGGTTACTGCTCGTTATAAAAATCCCTACGAGTAAAGATTCCGATGGGGATGAGATTTGTTTACGTCGCAACCCGAACGTAACGAATTTCGTAAGATCCGTCGCGTTCGTCCTCTCCTCGACCTTTGCTTTTGCTTTCCTCTAACAAAATTTTGATGTTCGAACGTCGCCTTACCCTGCATTGGCGTGTGCGACTTCGCTCCTTTTTAGCAATTTTACCCAACTAATTGTGTTCGGACGGAGTGTTAAGCGTGTCACTGCTGGATTTTAAATAACAATTTTGCGTTTTTATAAGTATTTTGTGGTACTAAATGGTTTTAAAAAATGCAGTTTGTGGATGTATAAAGTGTCAAAGAATAACTAGTTTCGGTTTAGATGTAATCTTAAAGAGATTACAATGGCAAATAAAAGAAGTGTGACCTATACGATTGCAAATGTGCGCTTATTCTTACCGGCGGTAGTCTTTAGACGTAATCTCGAGTAATGTTTCTACGTGCCCGCGTAAGTCGGCGATTTGGTCCTTAGTTTAAACCCGACCGACTTAAACCGAACGAGTCTGCGGCATTCCGAACGTGCTCGCTCGGTCGGAGACTTTGCCGGTCGTTCCGTCGTCCGAACGAATACGTTCACGCTTGCATCGGCGAACCGCCGTGTACTAAAATTTATTTTGGGGTTTGCCGGCGGGTTTGTCGGCGTGGCGACCGGTGCACGATGGGTTGCGGATGCTTCGCGCTTTGACGGAGAAGTGTGGCCTCCCCGTGGTAATATTAATGCTGTTTTTACTATTCGTCCGTATTAAGCCAAAGTTACGCCGTCCTTCTGATAGGTATCGTGATGATTCGCCCCCTCTTTGAGTGTTTCCCTCGTTCCGTCGTTCGAAGATTCCGAGAGTAGTTTTGCCGTTGCTGAAGTTGCCACGGGGAATGGTATCGTGCTCCGAGAAATGTCGAGGCTGGATGCGTACGTTTAGCGCGTCCGATAATTTGACCTTTTTCGTGGCTTGGTAAACATTTGTAAATACTAACTTTATGTGTATTTGTTATTTTAACCGTCTACGCTTGTATTATTATAGGTCCGTTTACCTTATTCGCTCCCACGAATGATGCATTTGCTCGAAGACCCGATTATTGTTTTAACGTTCCACTGAAAGACGTCATGAAAATGCATGTCGGTCGTGGTTTTTATTTCAGTAAGAAGTTTAAAAACGACGAGTTGATCTCCACTTTGCTTTCCGAAAGAACCGTTCGAATAAATGTTTATCGTAGTAATGAGGTGAGAATGCAAAAGATTTTTACGTATTAAACTTGTTCTTATTTTTGCATTGAAACTATGACAGATCGTTACCGGTAATGGGAGAGAAATAATTAAAGTGGATAATGTTGCTTCAAATGGAGTACTGCATATTTTGAATGATGTGATGTGTTCTCTGTACATTGGAAGTGCCATTGTAGAAATTAATAGATGCCCTTCTTTTAGCAAGTTCAGTAGAGCTGTAAATATGACCAATCTTTATACTTTGTTAGACGGTAAGTATTATATATCATTTTATTAAGAAAATAGCCAATTTACTGTTCTATACATTGTATTTGATATTCTTAGAGTTTAATTTTTTTTTCGTAACAGCAAAAGGACCTTATACTGTATTCACTCCGACAGATGATGCCGTTGCCAAACTCCCTTCTGATTTTATAATTCATTTACTAAATAACATTACAGCTTTAAAAGGTAATTTTAAATAAATTTTAAAGATTAGTATGTAAGTATATTGTGTTCATATTTAGATGTAAGTTAAGTATTATATTATACAAAGTTGTAATATACATTTTATTTTAAAGTTACATTAAAGAATGTTGTAAAAGAATAAGTTAACAATAATTTAAGAAAAATCATGTGTTACATCTTATTCATAAAATTATAAAGTAAATAATTACAAAAATAAATATACAGGTATACCTCGCCTTACGTCGGTAATTGGTTCCAAGAGAATGACTTAAGTCGAAAAACAATGTAAGTCGAATTTACTTGTCTCCAAATCTACTTGTCACTAGGCTAAACCATAAATTGCCAATTCTGGTTCTGTATTTTATTTATTAATGCATTTTTAATAATGTATGGTTAATAAGGATCTATTTTAAGCTTACAAACAAATAAAATTTTAGTTTTTAATATAGTACAGAAAAAGTAATCTAAATTTACGAATGCATGTACTGTAAATACAGTACATACTTGTAAATGTATATATTTTAATATGATTTTATGTGCTTTAAACATTTTTCTAGTGATATTACGACTTCAATATTTGTGGCGGACAGACGTAAAGTTGAATAAAATGACTTAAACTTGATTTTTATTTTTCCATATACTTTTTTGACAAACGACGTATAATCGAGAATGATGTAACTCAAAACGACGTAAGTCGAGGTATACCTGTATATATAAGTAAAAATATAATAAATTTCTAACTTTATAAAAAAAAATTAAAAATAAGGATCTTTCAAAAAGAATGTTACCATTTTAAATTACTGTAATCTTGTTTATTATACAAGAAGTATTCGATGTACACCAATCAATAGAGTAACTGTTCAAGTTTCATTTCCCATCTGCATTCAAACATATTGTTGTCTACTACCTGCAGAAAGCACCATAAATAAAATGATGACTGCAATAGAGAAGACATTTTGCATTCTGCAGTTTTCAAAGTCTGAATTGCTCATCATTGTGCAACATTAGTAATTTGCGGGAGCTGTAGAATTATTACTGCTGTGGGAGGAGTGGAGAATGGGTCCTTGGTCATGCGAGGGTTCTTGGAAATGAGGCTGCTGGCCATCTTTTCAAGTTGGCTGTTAAATCTACAGTCACTATCACTTTCAGTTATATTCCTATTTATTAAATAGACATGCACATAAAGAAACAAATTTCCGTTCTCTGGAAAGCTTTGCCCAAGACACTACAGGTAGGCTCATTTACACTTTTATTCCCAGGGTTGACACTATTGCAACTCTTCCACACTTTTCCCCCATTCAGCTTCTTACAGGCCATGATAATTTCAAGAATATCTGCATAGGTTCAGTCTTGGGGACAGTCTGTACTACAAGTGTTGGCTGTGTGAGAAACAAATGCCAATGCACTTAATTTTCCATTGCGATAAAGTTTAAAATTTATAAAGACATTAGGAATAGCTTAATGAGAGCAGCAATTGTGGAAGGATACAATTGGCCATGCATATCACAGCAACTCATCCAGACACATACAATTAGGGAATTCGATCCCGGTCCTTATTTCTAATCCCGGGATTTCGGGATTATACTTAGTCAATCCCGGGATTATTTCGGTATTGAGGGTTAATAAAAAATAAGAAAATCTTACAGAAATTAAAAATCAAAATTTAGACAAAAATCAACGTATTTTACGGTATACACCTAGTTAATTTAATCACTCTAATTAATCAGACTTACAGTCAGACTAACCAGACTTAAAATCACTGTCTTCATGTTAAATTTATTCTTTTTTAAGCATCACTGAGATCTCTTTAAACTCACATAAATTGAAAAAACCTTTATGTAACAAACTATGCAAATAAACGTTGAAAATTAACAAAAATCTCTCTTAACATCGACTAAATAGACTACTTTCATATAACAACCTAGTAAGTAGGTAGTAAAGTAAGTTTCTTAGCAAAAAGTATTTAAAAATAATATTAATCAGTCACATTTTTCTTAAATATAAAGAAAACTAATCTAATAGGAACATTCTAATTTGAATTGCGAAAATATGATCTGAGAAATAACAACGCATCCTGTGTCTCATCACCAAGTCTGCTTCTCAATTTGTTGCACATATATGCAGCTGCTGAGAAAACGCGTTTAGGTTTGATGGAAGTTGGAGGAATCGTTAGTAAATACTTATAAGCCCGTTCTAGTTATAGCTTCGAGGACACGGGGAGGTTGGAAGAAAACAGTCCGGTCGACACAGATCGGGATTGTAGGAGTAAAGGCTACAATCCCGATTGTTTCGATCATTGTAAGCATGCCTTTCTAAAAATAAACACGTTAATTTTGTAAATTCGGTCTCTGTGTGAGTCTCTCAGCATCCAGCAAACCACTACTCCCAAACGTAAAAAGACTTTCTCGCATCATCCTGACAGATCACGGGCAAGGCGGGGGTCGTAACCTTTTCACCTAAGGTCGACCCCCCTAAGCGAGAGGCGTCGGGTCTATATTAACCACACTGGCAAAACAAGATGGCTGACACATTGACAGGTAAAACGCACTGAGTAGTGCTCTCGACTGCGCCAGAAAATCGATTGGCGCCCGCGAAAATTCAAAAATACAAAAATGAAGTATATTACCAAGTAACCCAGTGAGAACTGCTTGCCTATCATTTTAGTTCAAAATACAAGAAGTTTTATTCCAAGCAAGCATCGCAAGCCCGCTAGGTTAATTTCTGCTGCTTGCTTGGAATAAAATTTCTCATATTTTATATTAAAATGATAGGCAAGCAATTCTGTAAAAGCACTGGCACTGAACGTTTCGCTTCATGCAGTCTATTTTGCAACTTTTTTAAAATGATGTCAATCCCGAAAATCTCGGGATTAGGAAAACTTAATCCCGAAAATTTTGGGACTGAAAAGTAGTTGGGATCCCGGGATCCCGATTTTCGTGATCCCGGGATCAAATCCTCTACATACAATGTACTGTACCATCACTTACTTTCATTCATATCCCACAGCAAGGCTCTTGCAATTTCTCTTCCTCATGGCACACACAACACAGATTTCCTTTCTTGCTTACTCTATTTCCAGTTATACTTTTTGTTATTCTTTAGTGTTGTGTCCCTTGATGTGTGGTGACATTTGATAATAGGGAAGCTGTGTCGGCCCTGTATAGAATAATTGGAAGCATTATGCTATATTTTGGCATGTAGCATCCACGAACAAAACTGCATGAGGTTGGTGCTCTGTAAAGCACATGTGCGAATGCCTGTAATCTAGTTGCTTTACACCATTTAAATATTTTGACCGTGGAAGACAGCACTTCCATTGGCAATATGCATATATCAATTTATATTCGAAAATACAATAGCAATCTTATCATTTTTTTTTCACATACAGTATAGAAATTTGTAATAAGATACATGATGCTATTATAATAAAATATTAATTTTAATTAATTCAAAGTACGTTAAAATATGAAAATAATTGCACAATATGTATTTATATTTTAGAAAATACAAGGGAAGCGGCACTTCCACAGCTTCCATGAATGGCACACCACTGGTATCTCTAGTTTTTTTGTTGTCCCTTGGTTCTGTATTGTCTGAATTTCATTGCTTCATTTTGTTGTCTTTTGCCATCTTACATAAACCAAAAAGAATCAGTGTTGTCTTACTTGTAAGTCTTTGTCATGGCATGCTCTTACCTGTCTGAGTTGTTGTCCTTGTCAAGGTTCTTGTTTAGTAATAAGTTAGTATAACTAGTTTTAAGTTAGTAATAAATTAGATTTAAGATAGCTATAAGTTATTTTTAGCTGTTTTTCCTGGTTGTTTCAGTTATGTTATTCTGCTTCCTATAGCATAGGTTGCTAGCTTAGATTCTGTATTAATTTTAGTATTAGATTTAAGCCTTCACTCTAGTTCTAAGCCTTAATCTTTACTCTGTCTAGCTTTTATGTAGCTGCACTACTTATTGGTGTAAGCTACAACTCAGGTTTTCTTTTAGACTCATGGCCTCACAGCCTAAAAACTACACACCAACATTAATGTAGAGGGAGTAATAACCTTATGCATGTCGCTCAGAGGGATCCTTCCTTTCCTCTTCTTTTTATCTCCTTCTCCTTTCCTTCTCCTCTCTCCCTTCCCCTTCTTCCTCCAGCTAAACAGTGTATGACCATTGTCTTTTGTTACTTGTGAAAGAAGTAGCAATGAATATGCCATAACAAGTCAAGGGAGGATTTTTGTATTGGTTAGCTGTGTGATATGAGGTGCATTTTATATGATGAGATCCTACTATAATTCCTGCAGTTTTCTCAAAGTAAGACAGTAATATTATCTAGACTCATGATTTTAAACCAGTGGCTGCAAGGGGATTGTAGATGTACCACAATAATTTTTAAAGGTTATTAAATAAATTATTTTCAAAAGAAGCTCAACAAACAGTAAGTTTACATGTCAAAAGTAAAACCTCTTTAAATTCATTATATGAGTTTATCATTGTTATAATAAATAAACTTATACATAATGTAGTAAAAAATGTCTAATCTTAAGCAAAATTATATGGGCATAACATCGGTTATTGACAAGATTCGGTGTTATGCCCCTATAATTTTGCTTATGATTAGACATTAGCAAAAATAAAATCGTGCTGCTGTCAATGGCTGGATACCTTAGAGGTATGAAAGAGTACATGTCAAGAGTTGTAATTTGGCACATAGTATTTGGTACCAAATCATGCACACAATTTTTAATGTGTGCAAGCACATTAAAAAAACCAGACTTGTAGGTAGTCAGGGGACCAAGGACCGAGTCAAAATAAAATACAAAATGGCAACACTGTTTCTACAAACAGACACTAGTGCAAGATTTGCACATGTATTGCTCATTGGAAATTTTGAAATGTGATGTTGCAAAATCAAATTTTGACAAACATGTAACACGTTACATGTGTATTTTCTTGCTCTCATCATTTCACCATCCTACAAAACAACAAAAGCAACATCAGGACAGTTCAG